AGCTACGAGTGCGACGCGCCCTGGCGCCTGCTCGAGGGCGCCGTGAGCGCCATGAGGCGCCTCGTGCCGCAGCCGGACTTCATCCTCTGGACCGGGTGAGGAGCCCTCAGGTGAACAGATACCAACAGGCACGCGCGATAACTGCGAATAAATACAGATGCGGTGTGGGGCTGGCCTGGGAGCCGTCCCTCTCAATGAGGAAATCCCGGTCCGAGAAGGAGTCACCTCTTGGTTCTTGGGAATGCTCAGCTAAGAGAGAGAAAACAAAACAAAACACCAGATACTCCCCAGATTGCCGGGACGTGCCGCGTGTTCCCTCCCGCTCCCGCCGCACGGCTCGACGCGCTGAGAATACAGATGCGGTGTGGGGCTGGCCTGGGAGCCGTCCCTCTCAATGAGGAAATCCCGGTCCGAGAAGGAGTCACCTCTTGGTTCTTGGGAATGCTCAGCTAAGAGAGAGAAAACAAAACAAAACACCAGATACTCCCCAGATTGCCGGGACGTGCCGCGTGTTCCCTCCCGCTCCCGCCGCACGGCTCGACGCGCTGAGGCCGCCCGTGCCCGGTGGGAGCCAGAGGACGTGGAGGGCTGCGCGTGGGTGACCCTGGGCTGCTGCGAGGAGGCCGCCGGCCGCGACACGGGGCCGGAGTGGAGAGCAGCACCCGCGGCTGCCCCGGGGAGACGAGGGGAAGCGTCGGCATGTGCTGCCCTTCCTTCCTGTTTGGTCCTTGCCAGCCCTCGCCTCCTCCTGGCGGATTCTGAATACCCCAAAATGGCTGTGGGACCCGAGCAGGTTCGTTACGCTGGTGCACAGACCCCCACCTTGCTAGAGGTGCGGGCAGGAGGGCACCAGAAAACAGGCTCGTGGTATTTCTCCATGCTGCAGAGAGGAACAGGGAAGTTTGGCTTCAAAGGAGAGTTATTTTTCTTTAAAATTAGAAACAACCTCCCCAAATGGAGCTTTCTCGTAGCACGGTGTCCAGAAGCCAGCACCCTGCTCTGCAGGAGGGCCCAGGAGCGCATGCAGACAGGGAGAGATTTATTCTGCGTGATTTTTGTAGGTTCGCACATCCCTCTGTCTGTTTGTGCCATCTCCTAACAGCGCCGTGTTCACTGTGAGCTTTTATAACCCTCAAGGCTGGTCTGTGGTGCTGCTGGCTAACCCGCTGTTCCCTCTTTGCCTTTGTGCAGGTGATCCTTTCTGCTCAGGAGTAGCTGGTGTGTAAAACTGTCTTGTTTTTCTGTTTCTCAAAATATTGCAGTTCTTCAAAATCTTTGTGAGTTTTAATCTCCAATGGCCTTATAATCCTTCCTCAGTCTAGAGATAGAAAACATTGAAATGTGCCTGCTGGATTTTCAGAAGTAGATCTCAAGGGTCTCTGCCTTACTGGAGCCATCCACTTGTTTCATTTTCAATGGCAGAGTTGTTATTTTACTGCTCTCTTGAGTACCAAGAGTTTTGTTTTGCTGTTGCTGATGAAATTCACAACCAGGCAGACACGTTCTTCCTCAAAGCTCCCTAGTGCACTTTCTATTAAATACATTGAAGTCCTTCTCTCAAGATAGAAGAAAGCAGAGCAAGTTTTAAACATGAGCAGTTCCTTGAAACTCCATTAGTGCCCGTGACACAGTGCTGATTGCTGCCCTGAAGAGTCTTTATTATCTCTGTTTTCTAGAAGGCAAAAAGAAAACAGAGGGTATAAACCAAAGTTCTCTGCCTTATCGCTTTAAACATATGCACTGCTCATCATACGTGATGACTGCTGGTCCTGTTCATTTTGTAGTTTGCTTTCGTGTTTGTTTTTGTCACTTGTTTGTTTTCATGTTTGGTTTGTTTGTTTGTTTATTTGTTTTCTCCAGAGATGACACTCCTCATGTCCCCAATGAGCAGCTTGGAGAAATACAGGTTCTGCATATAATTGAAAATCTGACTTCTCTGATAAAACAGATTTTTCCAGGTAGGGGCTGAGAGAATGAGTAGGGGAGAAGAGTACAAAGTCTCCCGGGAAGAACTTACCAGTGGATAAATGATATCATAGGATGGGAAAAGGCACTGGAAAGCTGTGGGCACTAGGACTGGTTTGTCCTCTTCCCAGCTGCTGAACAGGCAGTTTGGATCCGGCCGTGTCTGACACGCCCTTGCTATTTCAGATTAAATCACACAGAAGAGGAGAAAAGAAGCACTTCTGTAACTACTAATTATGAAAAACAAAAGGCTGTATAACTTATTCTCCATCAAATCTCAGCAGTGAGGGGAGGAGGACCAGGAAACCTCACTAACTGCGGTTCTAAAGGCATGGCCTGCTCTGGGGCAGCCTCCCTGGGGACTGATGGTCTTTGCTGTTCCCTGTCCGTGCGGCCACATGGGTTTGGTGTGGATGGTACCTGGAGCCCTCGGGCCGGGCTGCTCTTTGGGAGTCTGTAAGCTCTCTGGAGAGCTCTGGTGCTGAAGAACTCGAGTTTGAGTGGATTCCTCTGTGCTTCCTTCTCTCTGCCTCTAGAAACGAAAGTCTATGCTGTGATGGGCAATCATGACTTCCACCCCAAGAACCAGCTTCCAGGAAAGGAGCACAGGATCTACAACCAAACAGCTGAACTGTGGCGCTCCTGGCTGGACGATAGCTCCATTCCTCTGTTCAGAGCAGGTTTGGCACCACTGGGCCGGTTAGTGCTGGGGACATGGGGGTGATTGGGAGAGCCATCATCCGAGTGAACTGTCACCAGAGAGTCACCAGGGAAGTGTCCTTGTTTTTATTCCCCAAGCTACAGTGTTTGTAGAGGGAGGGCCCAATTTAAAACTGATTCCTGGCAGAGTTTTCCTGTATGCACAAGAAGAAATTTCTTTGTGGTTTAGTCGCTTCTGCTTCCGTAGAGATACAGGAAAGTGTCTCTGTAGATAGTAGTGCATTTAGTGAAAATAAAAAAGGTCTCTCAAGAAAGCTGCTGGTGTAGGACAGCGCTGTGGCTCTGTATATGGCTCTCTATGTGGCTCTCGATAACTTGCCAGTTCCTGGACTGTCCTGTACTTGCTCTTAGCATCCAGAGCCTCTTGTCACCTTGAGTAGCAGGCGCAGGACAAGGAGACACAGGGAAGAGAGTCACACCAAATCCATATTCTGTGTTAGTCAGAGCTGCTGACACTGCCTGGATAGTGACTCTGCTGCAGGTAGTGCCAAGGAGAGGCTCAGGGATTGGCAGCACAAGTGCCTGTGTGGCCAGATCTGCAGCCCGTTCTCCTACTGGTTGTATTTTGCAGGTGCTTTCTACAGTGAGAAGCTGCCCGGCCCAAACACAAGAGGGCGAATGGTTGTCCTCAACACCAACCTCTACTACGACCAGAATAACGAGACAGCTGATGAGGAGGATCCTGGAGGGCAGTTCCAGTGGCTGGAAGAGACACTGAGCAACGCCTCAAAAGCAGAAGAAATGGTAATAAAAATTAAAAAAAAAAAAAAGAGAGAGAGAGAGAAGGGGAGAAAAAAAGTTTTTGTTCCTGGCTTTTCTGAGCCTGGAAGAAGGACACTCCTGATATCCCTGTGTACCCAGGACCAGCAAGGCAATGCTCTCTTTGGGAAGCTTGGAGTCTGTGTTCAGTGCTGCTCGTTGTGTTGTAGGTCTACATTGCTGGGCACGTTCCTCCTGGCTTCTTTGAGAAGAAAAGAGGCAAGCCCTGGTTCCGGAGTAACTTTAATGAACGATACCTGCAAATCGTGCAGAAGCACCACAGAGTCATTGCTGCCCAGTTTTTTGGACACCATCACACCGACAGCTTTCGGATGTTTTACAGTGACACAGGTATCAAATCTGGCCATCCAAGTATTTGCATGATGACTGCGTTCAATCCTCCCAAAATCATTCCTGGGATAGTTTCTGGACCTTACCTGAGATGTAAGGGAGCAGCAAGGGCACTGTGGGTTGCCCTCCCTGAGGGCGATTCTCTTGTTCACCCTCACTGCACAGTTTCTGCTTGTGCCAAGCTGCAGAAGAGCTGCTTTTAGCTGGAGAAACCACAGGTTGAGCCTGGTGCTGTTCAACACCGTGGTCTTTGTGCGTGCTCTGCTGTAACTAGGTGTGGGGAGCGATGGTGCAGGGTCAGCAGTTGCCAGGATGCTTGTCACAGTGTGGGCTGAGTCTGCTACAAGCCAGGCCTCTCCCACTCATGATTTGTTTTGTGTTTCTGTTAAGGTTCTCCAATCAACGTCATGTTCTTAGCCCCTGGAGTGACTCCTTGGAAAACAACATTACCTGGAGTGGTTAACGGAGCCAACAACCCTGGGATCCGGGTGATTGATTATGATCCAGACACCCTTCAAGTGAAGGTAGGGGATTCCGTTGTGCTCTGTGCAGCAGTCTCAGCTGGGCACTTCGGTTTCTCCATGTAGTTTTAACAAGCAGGACTACAGGAAGCCAAGAGATGATGCAGCAGAGGACCTAGAACAAGGTCTTTCACGCTTGTGGTTAGCACAAAGATCCAGAGAGTGCCAGTGAGTAAAGGAAGTGACACCTCAGCTGGCCCAGGGCAGTGCAAGAAAGTTCAGGCTTGTTCTTGTTATCTTCAGCTAGTCTCCTTTTACACTTGCTTTTCAATAAATGCGGATTTCCAAACTCTCTTTGGGGACTAGCAGGCTTGCTGAACGCCCTTTTAAAACTAGCTGGCTAGGAAGTTATTCAGGGCTCACATATTCTGAATTAATTCATTTTGTAATGGGATCAGAAGTTAATTGTAGTGCAGGGAAGGCTTTTGTTTCCTTTGTCTTCATTTGCAAAAAGGTAGAGGATGCTGTTCGTGTGCTTTTCTTTTACAGTGGATAAAGCATCTCTGCAGATACTGTATTTACAGGTTTTCAGCATAAGAAATGTGTGCTTGTCTGTCCTAAAATACAGTGTGGAGAGCTAGTGAAGGAAGGCAGAGAGAAGAGCAACAGAGTGAAAGCAGGGGTTTTGTAGAACTTTTTAAATGTCATTTTGTTCACACTTGAGTAAGTAACTGCTGAATCCTGTAACACTTCTCCAGCTGCCCCTTCTGCCAGAGGACAGTGTAGATAATATAACACCAGAGTGATTTTTGAAGGAGGCCAGGCTCAAAAATCCTGGTGTTTTAAAATAAAAAGCAGAGAAACGTGAACCCTTAATCACTTATAAAATAGTAAAATGGGATGAAACTGCTTTTATGGTGTGTGCTGAATGCTCTCACTTGAGCCATCTGTCCCTGGGTTCTCATGCTGGTTCCTGCCAGCATCTTTTTGGGCACGTTTCTCCTTGTTCTGCTTTCTCTCCCTGCAGGATATGGTGACTTACTACTTGAATCTAACTCATGCCAATACGATCTCCGCAGCGTGGGAGGAGGAGTATCGGCTGACGGGAGCTTTCCACGTGCCCGACGGCTCTGCCCGCTCCATGCACACGGTGCTGGAGAGGATAGCGAAGGACGCGCAGTATCTGCAGCAGTACTACGAGTTTAACTCCGTCAAATACGACCTTGCCCCTTGTGAGGAGCCCTGCCGCCTCGACCACGTTTGTGCCATCAGGGAGGTTGATTTTACACGATACGATGCGTGTGTCAAAGGCAGCAGCTCTGCCGTGGCCAGCAGCAGTGCTTTTATTTTGTTGTCCATGCTGTCAGCGAGCCTCAGTTCCCAGCACGTGCTCCTGTGACTTGGAACAGGAGTGAGTGAGGAAAGGACTTGCTTCACGGCACATTTGAACCAGCAGTCATGGAATCATAGAATCACAGAATGCTTAAGGTTGGAAGGGACTTCTAGAGGTCAT